CCCCCCCCCCTTTTCAAGCAGGTAACTTTGACATTTGAATGACCATTAGAGGGCAGTATAAGTCGTGGATATTGATAAAGTTTTATGCAGAAAAAATTATTTGCTGTGCTTCAGTTCTTAATCTCCTTAAGAATTAAAAGAACTATCAATAGGTAGAAATTCATACTCAGTTCTCAGAAGACTGATTAAAAAGATGTCTTTTGGCCAGCATGGATGTCATAATCATTTTGCACACTTGTTATTGGATAACAGTGACAAATTTGATGGGTAGTTGAAACAGTAAAATATATGAAAAGCAGAAGAAAATTGTTATTCCAGTATGTGTGTGGTGTGGTAAAATGGAGGTAAGTGCTGCATAGGTTTAACGTTGGAATTCCAGCCCTGTCATTGACCCAAACATTGGTGTGTGTGAATGTCTTAACCTTTTTTCTTTGGAGGTAGAATTCACATACCATAAAATGAATCATTTTAAAGATACTGAAAATTAGGGGTGCCTGGTGGCTCAGTCAGTTAAGTGTCCAACTTCGGCTCAGGTGATGATCTCATGGTTTTTGGGTTCGAGCCCCTTGTCGGGCTCTGAGTTGGCAGCACAGAGCCTGGAGGCTGCTTGAGATTCCGTGTCTCCCTCTCTCTGCCCCTCCCCCATGCATCCTCCGTCTCTCTCTCTCTCTCTCTCTCTCTCTCTCTCTCTCTCACTCTCTCTCACACACACACACAAAAATAAACATTAAAAAAATTTAGGGGCGTCTGTGTGGCTCATTCAGTTAAGTGTCCAAGTCTTGGTTTTGCCTCAGGTCATCATCTCACAGCTTGTGAGTTCGAACCTTACATTGGGCTCCGTGCTCACAGTGTGGAGCCTGCTTGGAATTCTCTCTGTCTCCCTCTGTCTCTGCCCCCCCCCCGACTTGTGTGTGCTTTCTTTCTCTCCCCCCCCCTTCAACTTAAAAAAAAAATTAAAGATACTGAAAATTGTGTTTTTAATGTTATTCACAAATACTCATTTTTAAAGTAAAGAGAGGAAGGAATTAAAAAATTTTCATATTTAGTAACAGGTCTATAAATCACACGAAAAGTTATGAAGACTTCTTTTTTCCCTCTCCTTAAACATTTTTAATAGTTGTAGCAGCTTGATTCTAAATAGAGCTAATACAGAACCCTAGGAAGCTCAGTTCTGCACTCTGGGTTGCTAGTGTTTTCTAGGTAATTTTAAGAAAGCAAGTGTGATGCTTTCAAGGCTCATGACGCATTTATGAAATCCTTTGATAGTTATTCTTTGTTTTATGTGACTTAACTGATCAAGTTTCCCCTTAGAAGATAATGTCAGTAGTATAAGTAAGGTAATGCATTTGAAAGTCTGGCACTCTTAAGACTGGTCATTCAGCTAAATTGGCCCCAAAATGTTAATGAATTTTGCCTTTTGTTTCTTGCTTTTAAGTAAAGGAATGCTTTCATTTTTTAAGGTTAACACCTAAAATTGGTTTTCCCTGGAGTGAAATCAGAAATATTTCATTTAATGACAAAAAATTTGTTATAAAGCCAATCGACAAAAAGGCACCTGTAAGTAAAATTCTTTATGTTCTGTATTAACTCTTTTTTAATTTCTGCCACTTTGCTGTGATAATCATTTGAAGAGTGGCATCGTTCATTTATTGACTTGCTCCTGACTCGCTCTTTCCATAGTTTAACTTTCCCAGTGAGAAAATAATGAATGCTAGTAAATATACAAAGTTTTAATCTTTTTTATGACATAAATATTAGGGTTTTATTTTAACTGAGATTCAGCTATAAGGTGGGTGATGTTTGTTAACAATCCTCATTCCTAAGAAGCAGTTAAAACACTTGTTCGCTGCTAGCCTTCCTAGTCCAGTGCAAACATGGCCTAGTCACTTGGAGGTAGGAAGTTTTATGATTTCTGAACTGTGTATAATACGACATTCGAATTCATACCACATATTAAAATTTAGTGCATGTTATTGTGAGAGACACTATCTTCATGAAAATTTTAATTCAGAAACTTTATGTTTAGGATTTTGTTTTTTATGCACCTCGTCTGAGAATCAATAAGCGGATTTTGGCTTTATGTATGGGAAACCATGAACTGTACATGCGGAGAAGGAAGCCTGATACTATTGAAGTGCAGCAGATGAAGGCTCAGGCAAGGGAGGAGAAACATCAGAAGCAGTTGGAAAGGTATGGAATTTAGGTCTGTGATGCGTAATTGAGTAGGTGAGCTAAAATTTAAGAATGCTCAGTTTTTTTAGCATTCTCTGAGCTTACATTTTTGCATTGTTTTCATTGTATTAAAATGGAATGAGTGCTCTCCTTATCCTCTTCCGAAATGAGTGTGTGTACTCTGCGAGTGACAAATCTTTGACACGTTTCTGAGAGGGTAGCTTCCCATGATTTCACAGATGT